TAATGACTCTGCACATATTCTAATTTTAGAAAAGTCTGTTTTTCTAAAGTCTAAAACTTTTGTTTTTGTGTGCTGTGACTCAGTCACTGTTCTTATATTAAAACCACACTGACTGATGATCACTGGATCCTAAACTTTCACCTACAGTAATATCTGATACCAAATCTCCATTTGTTAACACTAAATCTAGTATGGCCTCTTTACGAGTTGGCTCCTCAACAACTTGTTTTAGAGACAATCCCAGTAGGGAGTTTAGAATATGTGTGCTCCTGGCACAAGTAGCTAATTTTGTTTTCCAATTTACATCAGGAAGATTAAAGTCACCCATGATGATAACTTCCCCCTTCTTTGTCATTTTAGCTATTTCCTCAACTAGTAGATTATCTAACTCTTCAATTTGTCCTGGGGGCCTATAAATCACACCTACACGAGTTACTGTGTGATTACCAAATTCTAACGTAGCCAAAACGGACTCTATGTTTGCCTCACTAGCTTTTATTAGGCTAGATTTTATGCTATCCTTCACATACAAGGCCACCCCTCCCCCTTTCTTGCCTTCCCTATCTTTCCTATATAAAGAGTACCCTGGTATTGCTATGTCCCAGTCATTTTTCTCATTGTACCATGTCTCAATAACAGCGACTAAATCTACACTATCAGTTGCCATTATTGCCACAAGTTCATGGATCTTATTCCCTAAACTGCGAGCATTTGTAGACATGACTCTAAGCTTATCATTTTTTAACACACTTGCTACAGGCACCTTCTGTCTTTGTTTTGGGGGACAATTGAATTGATGTTTTATCACCCTTTTGCCCCCCCCCCCTCCTAGTTTAAATACATCCTAGCAAAACCTCTGAACTGCTCACTGAGAAAATTTGTTCCCTTTTGAAAAAGATGCAAACCATCTCTTTTGTACAGGTTATTTCCATTCCAAACAGAGCTACCATGAAATAAAGCCAAATCCTTGCTCCCAACACCATTCACCAAGCCACAAATTAAAGTCCCTAATACGCATCCGCCTGTCGTTCTGAGTGTTATGCACAGGCAGAACTTCAGAGAATGACAGTGTGGAAGCAACCTGCCGTATATCATTGGCAAAACACTAAAAACTTCCTTAACCTCTGAAACCTCATTGCAAGCCAAGTCATTTGTCCCTAGATGGACAAGTACATCCAATTCCCCTTCCTGCTTTGCTTGCTTAACAATTTTACAGATACGTCTCCTGTCTCTGTGAGCAGTAGCTCTGGGAAGACACCTCACAAGACCATCATTGTCCATCTCCACACCTCTTATAGTAATACATTTTATACTTTCTAAACTTTTATCATAATACAGAGAGCACTATATATTTTATTCTCTTCTTCTGGGTCTGTAATTTGGACGCCGAACGTGCACCAGAGAATCGTCATTTGAAATCTACTCCATATATCCTTGAGTGGGGATTATTCCACTTCACGCGCTTAATATCAGAGCTGGATCCTCAGCTCTGAAAATTGTGAGTAAGACCTATTTCATTATTTTACTTTTAACGTATCTACATACTGTACCATTGGAGTCCTGTCTCTTCTTCTCTCCACATATGCTCCATTGAATCCTAAGCATACAACTATGAAGATTTGACCTTACTCCACACCTTAAAGAATCTTCCTTTATTTTACGTGGGATTCCTCATCACGAACTTTGATAAGTTTTGGACGATCGTTAACTATTTTTTATATCATATTTTACACACTGTTTTATTATTTATTGTATTTTATATATTTTAGTATACATTTTAGGCGCATCCCTATTGTACTGTTTGTTTTGTATTCTTCTCTGAACTCTCTCTAAGGTATGAATATCCTTCTGAAGATATGGTCTCCAGTACTGCGTACAATACTCCAAGTGAGGTCACACCAGTGTTCTGTACAATGGCATGAGCACTTGCCTCTTTCTACTGCTAATACCTTTCCCTATACAACCAAGCATTCTGCTAGCATTTCCTGCTGCTCTATTACACTGTCTGCCTACCTTTAAGTCATCAGAAATAATCACCCCTAAATCCCTTTCCTCAGATGTTGAGGTTAGGACTCTATCAAATATTCTGTACTCTGCCCTTGGGTTTTACATCCAAGATGCATTATCTTGCACTTATCCACATTAAATGTCAGTTGCCACAATTCTGACCATTTTTCTAGTTTACCTAAATCATTTGCCATTTGGCTTATCCCTCCTGGAACACCAACCCTGTTACATATCTTAGTATCATCAGCAAAAAGACATATCTTACCATCAAGACCTTCTGCAATATCACTAATAAAAATATTAAAGAGAATGGGTCCAAGTACAGATCCCTGAGGTACCCCACTGGTGACAAGCCCAAGCTTCGAATATACTCCATTGACTACAACCCTCATTTGCCTGTCACTCAGCCACTGCCTTACCCATTCAACAATATTTGAATCCAAACTTAAAGATTGCAGTTTATTGATAAGCCTCCTATGTACAATAGTGTCAAAAGCCTTACTGAAATCTAGGTAAGGAATGTCTACTGCACCACCCTGATCTATAATTTTAGTTACCCAATCAAAAAAATCAATAAGATTAGTTTGGCATGATCTCCCTGAAGTAAACCCATGTTGTCTCTGATCTTGAAATCCATGTGTTTTTAGATGTTCA